ACTCCGTTTCAGTCAAGCTAGTCTCACTACCCTGAAACCTGCCATGTTCTTTCCCTCTAAGCTTTTGTTCACATGGTTCCTTCTGCTTGGAATACCTTCCCCTTCCCCCTGGGTTTGTCCATGTTTTAAACCACTTTCAAGGCCTAGGTCACATTTTATTTATATTTTTTAAGATTTTATTTATTTATTTATTTATTTGTCAGAGAGAGAGAGAGACAGAGAAAGATCACAAGCAGGGGGGAGCCTGGCAGGTGGAGGGAGAAGCAGGCTCCCCGCTGAGCAAGGAACCAGATGTGGGGCTTGATCCCAGAACCCTAGGATCATGACCCGAGCCGAAGGCAGACGCTTAACCAACTGAGCCACCCAGGTGTCCCCTAGATCACATTTTAATTCACACAACTCAAGCCACTTTTCTCTTCCAGACTACCCATAATGTGTATCACTTATATCGACAAGAATATTTAAATTCTTTTGATCATACACTGCAATAGTACAAAATATTTTAACACATCCTTCCAATATATGTAAATAATATATCCTTCCGAAACATGATGGACATATACTACTAACCCAGTATATCATGTGAATCATTGAATATATGCAAAATACAAATGTAAAAGGGATGAACTAAAGATGAAATGATGTTTTTGGAACATTTTAAATTGTATTTTATTAACTACAGGTCATCATTGAGAGTGAATATGAGTTCATATTTCCAGTAGTCTTCATGATTTAAAATTATTTTAGCCTGTGCCTCGATTGAGATTAGCTCAGCATTGTGTTTTCACAGGAAGGTGGCAGATGATGTGCACCGTGCTAGGTAGGAGCTTCACCTTTGTCATTTCCCTGTCATTCGCTTAGACTTGTATTACATATCTTCTGTCCAACATTTCTTTATAGAAATCTTGTTAAGATACTTGTCTGTTTTGTGAAACTCGGTTTAATTAAAACTGGGTAATATATCCATATGGCCACCTAACTTGCAATTAGTTATAATTAGCTAAAGACCAAAAACATGCTGGTGTTTTGCAAGATCTTGGAACCCTCTGGGCTGAGTGAGGGCACCTGTGTCAAACTGTAGACTATTAGCAAACCTGAAGTTCTTACTATCTTAGATTTTAAAATATATAAATTGAATTTCTGTGTTTTGCTTTTTGCTTCTCAGTGGATCACCTTGTATACTTCCTGGGCTATGATCATGCTTACTTTGGAGAGCACCAACTTAATGCGTATAAAACTTAGCTCTCAAATGTGATTCTAGGCCATTTTAGGAAAAGCTCATCCTCTTATTTCCTGTTCCCCATAATATTTAGCACCCTATTTACCCAGCACTGTCCTTGATACTTTATTATGTGTGAACTATGTTTTTAAAAATACTAGGATAAATTTGGACTGTGCAATTTCTTAAAGCCATTTCAAGCATTTTTAAGGGTACAATTCAGTGTTAAGTACATTCACAATGTTGAACAACCATCATCACTTTTCATTTCCAGAAATTTTTCATCATGCCAAACAGATACTCCATACACATTCAGCTATAACTTCCTATTGAACCTCAATGTCCTATAACCTCTGTTCTACTTTCTGTCTCTGAAGATTCGGCTATTCTGGGTACCCTCATCGAAGTGACATCATATAATACTCGTTCTTTTGTGTTATTTCACTTAACATAACGTTTGCAGTGTTCATCCATGTTGTAGCATGTGTCAGAACTTCATTCCTTTTCACGGCTAAATGATAAGTCCATTGTATATATCACATTTTTTAATCCATTCATCTGGTGATGAACACTTGGGTTGTTTCCACCTTTTGGCTATTGTGAATAGTGCTCCTAATGAACACTGGTGTGTAAGGACCTGTTTGAGTCCTTTTTTTAATACCCTTGGATATATGCATAGGAACAGGATTGGCGGATCATAGGGTAATACAATGTTGAACTTTTTGAGAAACCATCAAATTGTCTTCCAGAGTCTGCCCCACTTTACATTCCCACCAGCAATGTATAAGAGTTCCAATTTCTCCCCATTCTCGCCAACACTTGTTACTTTCTACATTTTAAAATAATAGCTATCTTAGGGGGACCTGGGTGGCTTAGTTGGTTAAGCATCTGCCTTCACTCAGGTCATGATCCTGGAGTCCCAGGATCAAGTCCCACATTGGGCTCCCTGCTCAGCAGGAAGTCTTCTCCCTCTCCCTCTGCCCTTGACCATGCTTGTGCTCTCTCTCTCCCAAATAAATAAATAAAATCTTTATTTTTTAAAAATATTTTATTTATTTATCTAACAGAGACACAGTGAGAGAGGAAACACAACCAGGGGGATTGGGAGAGGGAAAAGCAGGCTTCCCGCTGAGCAAGGAGCCTGACACGGGGCTTGATCCCAGGACCCTGGGATCATGACCTGAGCCAAAAGCAGACACTTAATGACTGAGCCACACAGGTGCCCCAAATAAAATCTTTAAAATAAAATAAAAAATAATATCTATCCTAGTAAGTGTGAAGTGTTAGCTCATTGCAGTTTTCAATTACATTTCCCTAATGACAAATGTTGACCATCTTTTCACGTGCTTATTAACCATTTGTATATCTTCTTCAGAAAAATGTCCATTCAAGTCCTTTGCCCCTATTGTAATTAGGTTGTTTATCTTGTTTTTGTTTTGAATTATAAGAGTTCTTTATATATTCTGGATATATAAAATATAAGATTTGCAAATATCTTCTCCAACTCTTTTTACAAAAGATTTTAACAATGAATTAATTATATTTTTAAAAGAGTTTATTTATTTATTGATTGATTTGAGAGAGAGAGAGAGAGAGAGAGAGAGCCCTAGAAAGCACAAGCAGGGAGAGTGGCAGAGGGAGAGGGGGAAGCAGGCTCCCTGCTGAGTAGCGAGCCTAATACAGGGCTTTATCTCAGGACCCCAGGATCATGACCTGAGCCAAAGGCTGATGCTCAACCAACTGAGCCACCCAGGCACCCAGTTAATTTACCTATATATAAAGAGAGAGCATCAGCATGGTGGGGAGGGGCAGAGGGAAAGGGAGAGAATGTTCAAGTGACTCCACACTGAGTGCAGAGCCGGATGTGGGGGTTGATCCCACATCCCTAAGATTGTGATGTGAGCCAAGATCACGAGTCAGATGCTTTTAACTGACTGAGCACCCCCGGGCGCCCCTATCTTCTCCAATTTTGTAATTGTCTTTCAATCTCTTGATATAGTGTCTTTTGATGTATGAAAAATTTAAATTTTTTGAAGTCCAATTTATCTATTTTTTTCTTATGTTACCTGTGCCTTTTTTATTGTATCTGAGAAATCATTACCAAATCCAATTCACGAGGCCTTTGCCCTATGTTTTCTTATAAGAGTTTTATAATTTTAGGTCTTATGTTTGGGTCTTTCATCCATTTCAAGTTAATTTTTATACATGGTGTAATGAAAGGATGCAACTTCATTCTTTTGCATGTGGATGTTGTTTTCTCAGCCCCATTTGTTGGAAAGATCATCCTTTCCCCCATTGAATGGTTTGGCACCCTTATGGAAAATCAATTGACAGTGTATGTAGGTGTTCATTTCTGGGCTCTCTGTTCTATCCCATTGATCTATATGTCTGTCCTTATGCCAGTACCACACGATTTTGATTACTGTAGCTTTATAGTAAGTTTTGAAATCAGAAAGTATGAGTCCTCCAAATATATGCTTTTTCTTTTTCAAGATTGTTTTGGTTATTCAGGGCTCCTTGAGATTCCGTGTGAATTTTATTTTTTCTTCCATGTGAATTTCAGTATGGGTTTTTCTACTTCTACAAAAAATGCCACTCAGATTTTGATAAGCATTGCATTGCATCTGTTAATCATGTTGGGTAGTATTGCTGTCTTAAAAATATTACTTTTTCCAGTTCATCAACACAGGATATCTTTCTATATGTAGGTTATTTTTAAAATAACAATTTATGTGAGAAATGATACTTGTGTTTATTTTTTAAAAAGAAGGTCAAAAATATGGTAAAGTACAGGGGCGCCTGGGTGGCTCAGTGGGTTAAAGCCTCTGCCTTCGGCTCAGGTCATGATCCCAGGGTCCTGGGATCGAGCCCCACATCGGGCTCTCTGCTCAGCGGATAGCCTGCTTCCCTCTCTCTCTCTGCCTGCCTCTCTGCCTACTTATGATCTCTGTCTGTGAAATAAATAAATAAAATCTTTTAAAAAAATATGGTAAAGTACAAAGAAAGAACAAATTACTCTACATCTCACTACTCTTTGATAAGTACTGTGAACTTTTTGGTGACCATCCTTCTGAACATCTCTTGTTTATAATTTTACATAAATAGCATCTGAAGTTTTTTCCTACTTACTATGTAATACATGTTCTTCAATGTGAATGACTAGATTTAAATCATGTTTGCACATAGGGGAGCCTGGGTGGCTCAGTTGGTTAAGTGTCTGCCTTCAGCTCAGGTCATGATCCCAGGGTCCTGGGATTGAGCCCTGCATTGGGCTTCCTGCTCAGCAGAGAGTCTGCTTCTCCCTCTCACTCTGCCCCATCCCCTTCTCAAGCATGCTTTCTCTCACACAAATAAATAAATGAAATCTTTTAAAAAAATAAATAAATCGTGTTTTACCATCATTTAGTTAAACAAACCAATGTTGATAGACATTTAGTTTGCTTTGGACTGTGAGTAATATTTATTAATATCATAGTATTAATGGTAGGAAAAATAGTATAATAATGAATGTTTGATGTTTGCTCTTTTGAATGAAGAATGCCTCAAAGTTATTCATTTAGAAAATTTCTCCATATTTGAGGTATCGTAATGCATTACTAATAGACCTTTGGTGTAGTAGGTGTGACGATTAAAAGTAGAGAACTAGACACTTGTTTAGAGATTTGTTTATCCTCTAGCTCTTATATGGCCCGGTGAATAATAATAAAGGTACAACCAAATCAAATAATTTTGTAAAACCATAGGATCTGGTATTCATTTATTCTCATGCTCTGCCTTTCAGGAGGAAGGCATGAACTTAATGACTAGAGAAGCAATGCATGAATGGTGAGAAGTGTACTTTGAATTACTATTCTGATCATCTCTGTGTTCAGTCACTTCTTTTCTTTTTGTTAGGCAAACACCAGTACTGATACCTCTTCTTTTGCAGGGAAGTACAAACCGCACTACGGATAAGTCGGTCTTGGGAAGAGAGTTTGAGCCTGGTATGGTATTAACACTTCAATTTTATAGACAGTTTGAAATTTTTGCTGATTTTCAGTATCGGCACTACTTAGTTTTGCTGTAATTTCTAGAAATTCAAGCTCTCATTTGAAACTGAAATTTATATGCTTCATAATTTTTTATTGCTCCTGAGAAATAGTTGATGACTTACTCATAAAAATAACTGACATCATTTGAAAGTGGGGTTCATAGTAAATAGTTGTCTGATACAAAACCAGTGTTGTTGTGGACCAGCCTCCTCTCTGTCCTACTGAGTCTAAGAAAAGTTTAGTTCTGCTGGTCAAATTGCTTAGTTGACAAAACAATGAATGATTTCACTCCTTCCTACATAATTTATTAACTAGGTATTAGAGTTTCAAACCACAGACAGTGAGTTTCTGCATAAATACTACATTTCTGTGCCTGTAACACATACACTCCCACTATCATTTTAACATGCAGCCTTTAATTTGAACATATTTGGAATTGAGTTAATCCCCCACTAACATTTTTTAATGTTTCTTTATACATTATGATTACTTAGTTGTAGAAGTTGAGCAATGCTTAGGGTTCTTTTCCATGGACATTTCAGATAATGACAGAGAATTGAGCTGAAATTTGGGTAGAACAGATTCTGGCTAGATGTTAGTGTCCAGATTTGGGAGTCACTAGATTTGGAAATGGGTCACCAACAGAAACAGTGACATCTTATTTTCCTTTGAGCCTTGAGTGCCTTAGATGGACATCTATCCCTGATTTAGGAGTAGGTCCTAAAGATTGAGTAGATAGCCTCTGAAGCCTGCCCCTTTTCATGTTTAGTGCTAATACAATTTATAGATGCTGTTGGATTCCATTAACCCAATTATAATTACTTTACATGTTGGCACGAGTGAGTGAATCCGTGAATGTGTTAGGAAGAGGAAGGGAATACATAACATAACTGTACTCTGTCTTAAAAAAGAAAAGAGCACATTATAAAGGCCTGAATTATGCAGTACTGATTTTGTCCACATAAAATCTATAAACATCTTTTATAGCTGTAGTTATGTTTGCTGTCCCATTTGTATCTTAGTTCTAACCAAATCCTTTTTGACTGTTCCCTGAACATAATATTGTAATTTTCAACAACAAAGCACAGGTCAGACGCCAAAAGAAAAATTTTAATTTAGGATTTGTGTATATACTGGTAAGTATTACTCGTTATCAAGTGCTCACATTCTAGGCCTTTTGCGGACACTAGGGAAGCCCCTCAACTTGCCATGAGCGTTCTTTCCCAAAAGGAGAAAGTGAAGTGAATCTTGGGTTCCCTTCTTGCTTTAGGATGATATGAGCTCCTCACCATAGTACACACTGACTCAGTAAGGATCCCCTTCCCCAGGCAGCAGCTGTCTCCCTGAGTACATGATAGGTAAGCAACTGGTGCTACAATCGTACACTGCTTTCTGCTTATACAGAGTGACAGTAATTTAGAGAAACCATCTTCAAAAAGCATCGATTTAATTCCAGTATCCCCAGCAGCTCCTCCCACCCAGGGGATTGGGAAGGTAAGAAAGGAGAACCTAAGAATCTGTGTCCCTTGAAACTTTTATAAAATGTTAATGTTTCACCACCTACATTTTGGGGGGATATATTTTGCCATAGGACATCTGATTCTAAATGACATTTTTCCCTTCCTTTTCATCTATTGAACTATTATTAACATATAACAAAAGTCACCGACTTTTAAGTGTATGATTTGATTAACTTTTGTAATTGTGCACCATCCTGTAACCATAACCATAGTCAAGATATAGAGCAGTTCCCACACTCTAAACAATGGCCCCGTGATCTTTTGCCCTTGATATCCTCTCCTTCCTCCCACCCCCCACCCACCCTAGGAAACCACTGATCTGCTTTCTGAGAAGAGTGGTGGTTTTAAAACCTCTGTTCTAATTTGGTTTTAGCAATGTTTTCCTCCATCGTTACAAACTTGTGTGAATTACACCACTTTGCCTCCAAGTTCCGTTCCTAGTCCCACTCAACGATTTCCAATGTAAGTTTTTGTTATATGAAAATATACCAAATTGCTTATAAAATAAGAATTTAAGAAACTTACAAGAACTGATAGCTCCAGGTTCTGTGACAACCAAAGAAGCTGTGTGTTTTTAGCTAAATTAAAATGCCGTTGTTTTGATTTATTATTCTGTGTATTGAAAAGAATCAAGTGAATAAGAACATGGGAAAACATGCGAACCCATGAAGGATCAGTAATTCATTAGCCCTGTTCGAACATAGTCTTCCTCTCCAAGCTTGCTGATAAGGATCAGAGCTAATTCTTAAACTGTAAACATCTGTACTTGCTCATTTACCCATGATTTTCACCTTGATTCAAGGCAAGTCACAACCAGAACTGTAGGTCTTTCTAGGCTCCCCCGCCCACCACAACTTCAAAGAAGCCTGAATCCTTATAAATTACGAGATAGTTTGCTATCCTGAGGCATTCCTGTTTTTAACCCAGATTTACAGAAGAGCAATAAAACGATGTGATACTACAACAGTCCTTTTTTAGTGTATACCCTTCTATTATATTAAAGTAGTCATAGCTGATTTTGTTCAAATTTTTCTTGTAATGATTATATAATTTTATTTTAGAGGAAGTCAAAACCCCACCAACATTATTAGACCAAGTATCTGTGGACCATTAAAAAGAAAAGGTACTTTTATCTACCAGCAAAAATAAATATAACTTTGAATTATTTTTATAAAATAGCATATAAAATCAAGTGTTATAAGAAATTAATTTTAAAGGATTTATTTAAAATATATTTGATAAGGTACTAGAGGCCTTTCGTTTTACTCAAACAAAACTATGTAGAGACAATATTAAAAGCTGTAAAATGCCATATTAATGTGAATTGAGAAGTTTAATTCCAGTTTAGTCAACTATTATGATTTTTATTATATAATTTGCCGAGCTAGCTGCCTTAAATACTTTCTGAAACAAGGTGGGGAATGAATGAATGAACAAACGATGAATCAGTCCTAGTAGTCCAGTGAATCTTGACCCTGCCCTGGTTGCTGCCACATCTACTTGTTGACATCATGTGAATAAGTTGACACAAATCAGATCCGCTTACTACACTAAAGCTATATTCTGAGGTGTGTGTTCTCTGATGTTTCACTTCTTTATGGGGGTTAATTTTGGTTAAATATATGGAAAGTGACCCATCTTCCCAGTAATAAAAGGACAGTGAGAAAAAAAAAACAGGTTTCTTTTTGGCTTTTCCTTTTTGTTTTTGTTTTTGTTTCTGTTTTTAACTCCCACAGCCGGATCCCAACCTTGCCTCACTAAGCTAGGTTTGTTCTTCCTTTCTTGTTAATACCACTACTGACTTTAACTATAGTAGGGAGGGAAAATGGATAAATAGGAAAGGAGGTTAAACTTTTAAAATGTGTATTTGGGAAAAATCCATTAAGATAGGAAAGAAGAAGAAGAAAAAAGCGGAGGAAAGGAGAAAGGGAAGGAGAGCAAAACTATAGGGAAAGAAATTGAAATTTAAATGTACTTCAGTGTTGCATGTATTCTGGATTAATTATGGCAGTTGTCCTAACAACACATCTAACTCAGCATGTACTTATTATATTCTAAGACTAAGACTAGATCAATTCTGGAAAACACTCTTTCAGACTAAGCACTTTGTTTTATGATGATGGACCAATGACGTAGCTTAGGGATCTTTTGCGTGTGCTGTGAAGTTAGGGGCTAGTGTTGACAAAACATTTAAATATATTAAGTTTAAGAGCTGTTACAATGTTGGGGGTCATTTGAGTATTTAAAATAAAATATGCGTAAGGGCACCTGGCTGGCTCAGTTGGTGGAGCGTGTGACTGACTGTTGATCTCAGCGTTGTGAGTTCAAGCCCCATGTTGGGTGTGCAGATTACTTAAAAATAAAATCTTAAAAAATAAATCAATAAAATAAAATTTGTGTAAATGGAAGACAGTGTTTTACTAAATTAAAAGAATTCTCCTTTTAGGAAGCCTGGGTGGCTCAGTCAGTTGAGCATCTGACTCTTGATTTTGGCTCAGGTCATGATCTCAGGTTCGTGAGATCAAACACCTCATTGGGCTCCATGCTCAGCACAGAGTTGGCTTCTCTCTCTCTTTCCCTCTCTATTTGCCCCTCCCCCTATTTGCATAATTTCTCTCTCTAAAATAAATAAATCTTGGACACCCGGATGGCCCAGTCAGTTAGGTGTCTGCCTTCGGCTCAGGTCGTGATCCCCAGGTCTTAGAATCAAGTCCCACATCCAGCTCCTCGCCTGGTGGGGAGCCTGCTTCTCCCTTTCCCTTTGCCTACCACTCCCCCTGCTTGTGCTCTCTCTGACAAATAAATAGATAATATCTTTAAAATAAATAAATAAATATTTTTTAAAAATAAATAAAAATAATTCTCCTTCTAAGACATTTACACATAAATTGTCCTATGCCATTGAAAATTCCTGGAATTCTCTTAGAATTTATGATTTAAAAAATTGTTTTATATTATAATCTTTACACAATACACTTGGTTTCTGTCCAGTATTTTGGTGGATGTGGTATGTCTCACACAAGCCTCTTATACATGGTTTTCAGTTGCTCTGGAGGATGATTGCCTCCTTTATTTGAGATATCCCTAAGAACTGTATGTACTACGTGGTCTGTATTTTAAGTCAGACCTTTCCAAACACAGCCTGTATAAGTTTGGTCAAAATTCATGTGGAATTTTAGATACAGTAACAGATTAAACAGAAATTTAATTTTATTATTTGGGAATATGAATCCATTTGGGGAACAACAAATGATGTCTTATTTGGAGCATATTAGTACAAAGGAAATGTGGGGAAAGAAGATATAAAAAATCCAAAGAGGTCTTGGGTGGGGGAGAAAAAACAATGAGGACTCTATAAAATGGGAGAGAGTATGAGATAGCAGTTAGAATCTGCAAGCATATGAAGGCGCATTGTATGGTGATAAGCTACACTTCCACTAGAATAAGCAAGAGCAAATGAGGCCTCAGGGGGGAATTCTGAGAAATCAGACAGCTATAAAAAGTGTTTTATAAGTAATAATGATTTCAGCAAAGAAAATTTCCATTTTTTTATATGATGAATTTGTCTTGATATGTCTGGCTTTTAAACCCAAAAGGAAAGGTGAGTAGTTTTTCTATAATGATGTGATTGTAATCTGGCAGGGGACAGGATACCCAGGATATGCTCTTTGGAGCTTTATGAGCCATGATTATACTCCTGAGAAGGTCTGAGGGATCTCTATTTCTAGCGAGATATATGTAGATATAGATATATATGTAGTGATATACATAACGATATATACATAGCGATATATATAGTGGTGTATATATATCACTAGAAATAGGGATTATATTTATATATATATATATATTTAAATATTTTATTTATTTATTTGAGACAGAGAGTTTGTGAGCAGGGGAAGAGCAGAGGGAAAGGGAGACAATCTCCAGCAGACTCTGTGCTGAGTGCAGAGCCCCTTGCAGGGCTTAATACCAGGACCCCAAAGTCACAACCTGAGCCAAAACCAAAAGTTCAATGCCTAACTGACTGAGCCGCCCAGGTGCCCCAGGATGTATATATTTTTTTAATCTTTAAAAAGATTTTATTTATTTGAGAGAGATAGCATCAGAGACAGAGGGAAAAGCAGTCATGGAGCCAGACTTGGGGCCTTATCTCAGGACCCTGGGATCATGACCTGAGCTGAAGGCAGATGCTTGACCAACTGACCTACCCAGGTGCTCCTATTTTATTTTATTTATTTTTTTAAAGATTTTGTTTGAGAGAGGGAAAGAGAGAGAGAGCAAGCTCAAGCAGGAGGAGGGGCAGAGGGAAAGGCTCCCTGCTGAGCAGGGAGCCCGACACGGGGCTCAATCTCAGGACCCCCGAGATCATGACCTGAGCTGAAGGCAGACGCTTAATCGACTAAGCTGCCCGGGCGCCCCTATTTTACTTTATTTTTAAGTAAACTCTACACCTAACATTGGACTTGAACTCACGACCAAGAGTCACATGCTCTACCAACTGAGCTAGCCAGGTGCCCCTATATCTAGGGATATTTTTTTAATGAGTGTTTTATCTTAGTGTTAGCCTTAGTGTTTTATCATTCAAATTTCACCCTATGAGTTATGGGCTTGAACATCAGTTTTCTCTCATCCAGACATGGTTATCGCATGATGGCAAATAATGTGTAGATTTTAGCATTTACTTTGAGGTAAAGATTACAGCAATGCAATTTTTTGAGATTAGATGTGTCTCCTTAACCTTTAAAAATATATGTATTTTGTTCATTGTCACGCTGTAAAAGAATTGATCTATTTATTTCATTGTATATATTTGGCAAAATAAAGATAACAACAATCTAAACATTTAAAATAAGGAATGAGATTAAATTATGGTATGACCATACCACGTAGCTCTATATAATCACGTTGTAGAATTTAGTTAATATAATACAGAAAATTGTAATAATTAAAAATAAAAAGTAGGTTCCATATTGGTATTGTGTATGATACAAATGAAATTTTGTTTAAAAACAATCATGTGTACACACACATTTTAGGAATTACCAAAAAGTGGAAATCTCTGGGTAATGGGGATATAAAACTTTTTGCTTTGTTTTTATGTATCTTATAAATTATTTCCAATAAACAAGTTTTACTTTGCATTTAAAAGCAAAAGCATGTTGGATAAAACATATCTCCTTTGATCTACTTTTTTGTCATAGGTGAAATGATATTTGAAGATCAGCCAAAGAAACTTTTCCAAGGCACTACCAGCATGATTTCTTCCGATACTACTCAACAGTCTGATACGAATGAGTAGTGAGTATTAACATGAGGTTTTAAACATTCATTTGCTGTTTTTCACTTGCCTTTTCAACCTATTCTTATAGTCGTATATATTCAGAAGTATTATTAAATATTTTTAGAAGTTATAAAACTGATATCCCAAATGAATGCTATTAACTTTAGTTCTTCTCCCTAACATTTATTTATGTGCGACATTAATATATGCTGGATACATTTTTAGAAGTGGAGTCTTGGCATTTGATTAAGAGGTATTAGAGAAGGGGCGCCTGGATGGCTCAGTCAGTTAGGCATCTGACTCTTGGTTTCAGCTCGGGACATGCTCTCAGGGTCATGATCTCAGGGTTTTGAGGTCAAGCCCCTTGTTGCAGTGGAGGAGGGGGTTGCTCTGAGCTCAGCACAGAGTCTGCTTGAGATTTCCCCCCCTCCTCTTTTGCTCCTCCTCTCCCCCTATCAAATAAATAAAATCTTAAAAAAAAGAGGTGTTAGAGAAATATATAAAAATCCAAGCTTGGAGAAAAGTGTCTTAGGCCCATCTTTTCTTCCTTGGATTTTTGTGTGCTTTGTTAGGCTGAGCATATTATTGGAAAGCGTGCCAAGAAAGCATGTTTTAGTAATCAAGATGGGAAATACAGTGAATGGATTTTTATTTAATGTTACCGTTGGCTTTGTTTTACTGCTTTTGTGAAATTGCTCTTGTAACTAGTGCCAGTTCTTGGCTTCACATATTTTGTGTCCATTTGTAGACAAAGCAGAATGCACAGAGATCTTTTGAATTCTGTTATTGATGAACAGCATTTTCTTGTCCTAGTCTATCTCTAGATATTCTTGATGTAAACAATAGTGGTGCAGGCTCTTCTTGTAACTGACCAGTTAGAATCAGCACTGTTGGGTGCCTGGGTGGGATAAGCCTCTGCCTTCAGCTTAGGTCTTGATCTCTAGGTAGTGGGATCAAGGCCCACATGGGGCTCTCTACTCAGCAGGGAGCCTTGTTCCCCCTCTCTCTCTGCCTGCCTCTCTGCCTACTTGTGATCTCTCACTCTCTGTCAAATAAATAAATAAAATCTTTTTTAGAAAAAAGAATCAGCGCTGTCACATTCTCCCATATCATCTTTTGATTCTCGTTCTTCATGTATTGTAGTGGATGAACTTTCAACTAAATGATTCCCCCATCCCAGGATTTTCTCACCAGTGGAGAAAAAAGTTTGCTTCTCTGTTCTCTCTCTCTCACACACATACACAAGTTAGAGTAACTATTTCTTATTACCGTATTTTCTCAATTTCCTAAAATTCTGTTTATGTACAGAATTTACATATCTAATTGCTGTGTATGCCCTTAAAACCAATGTAGTGATACTTTCAAAGATGTTTTCCAGCAGTGGCTCAGTCATTAAGCGTCTGCCGTGGGCTAGGTTCATGGTCGCAGGGTCCTGGGATCAAGCCCTGCTTCGGGCTCCCTGCTTGGCGGGGCAGGGGGGCCTGCTTCTCCCTCTCCCCCTCCCCCTGCCTGTGTTCCTCTCTCACTGTGTCTCTGTTAAATAAATAAACTCTTTTTAAAAAAAAGATGTTTTCCTAGAGGCGCCTGGGTGGCTCAGTGGGTTGGGCCTCTGCCTTCGGCTCAGGTCATGATCTCAGGGTCCTGGGATCGAGCCCCGCGTCGGGCTCTCTGCTCAGCGGGGAGCCTGCTTCCCTTCCTCTCTCTCTGCCTGCCTCTCTGCCTGCTTGTGATCTCTGTCTGTCAGGTAAATAAATAAAATCTTTTAAAAAAAATAATAAATAAATTTAAAAAAATTAAAAAAGATATTTTCCAAATAAGAACTATATCAAAGATACAATCATGTCTTCAAGCTGCTAATGTGTAGAAACATGCTGCACTTTTATTTTTTTTTAATTAATTTATTTGTCACAGAGAGAGTGAGCACAGGCAGGCAGAGTGGCAGGCAGAGGCAGAGGGAGAAGCAGGCTCCCCGCCGAGCAAGGAGCCCGATGTGGGGCTCGATCCCAGGACACTGGGATCATGACCTGAGCCGAAGGCAGTGGCTTAACCCACTGAGCCACCCAGGCGTCTCTGCACTTTGATTTTTTAAAAACAAAATTGAGAGCACTGTTTGTTTATATGAATAAGTAGATACAGTTGTAAGTCCTGATGAAATATTTTTGTTCCATTAATCAACAAGTAAAATAATTTTTTAGGTTAGGTGCTAAATGCCCATGCTAGTTCATTCTTTCTTTCTTTCTTTCTTTCTTGACAGAGAGCAACAAAGTGAGAGAGGGAACACAAGCAGGGAGAGTGGGACAGGGAGAGGCAAGCTTTCTGCTGAGCAGGGAGCCTGATGCAGGCTGGATCCCAGGGTCCTGGGATCATGGCCTGAGCCGAAGGCAGACGCCCAATGACTGAGCCACCCAGGTGCTCCAGCCCATGCTAGTTCTTAATATTTTCAATAATTGCTAGTTCTTCTTGGTAAGGAAAAATCACCTATCTTAGAACGGTTTTTAAAACTAAGCTAGTGGGCGCCTGGGTGGCTCACTCATTAAGCCTCCACCTTCGACTCAGGTCATGATCCCAGAGTCCTGGGATCAAGGCCCACATGGGGCTCCCCACTCAGCAGGAAATCTGCTTCTCCCTCCCCCACCCCCTCTACTTGTGTTCCCTCTCTCGCTGTGTCTCTCTCTGTCAAATAAATAAATAGAATCTTTAAAAAATAAAAAAATAAAAATAAAAATAAGCTAGTCATACTATGCTGATACAAGGATTGCCTATTTTGCACCTGAATCCTTGGATATTTAATTGGCTGGGAAGAAATAGGTAGGGCAAATAAGATGATAAAAGGTAATTGAATAGCAGGAAAATAATATGTAATTGGGCTTTACTCAATTTGTACTTAACCTGATTATCCCTGATCAATTTTGTATTCTAATTAAGTGTGGAAAAAAGACAATGTTGATAAATTGTGGTCTTTTACATTTCTATGAATTACTTTTTATTCATCATCATGACTACTGATTGGATTAAATAAGGCTTAATATGTTAGAGTTTTTCTGCAGGAATCATATACTTCCAGTTGTCCCCTAAGGACTACAAATGTTTGTTTAAACCCCAATTTTCTATTCAAAAGTCTTAAAGGTTTTCCGAATAAGAAAAATTATGTTAAAAATTTAAAATCTAAAGTGAGTGCTTTAAGTAATTGAGGATAGCATTAGCATTTTGAAAAATAGAAATGCATCCTCATGAAGTTTGAATGAGTTTAAATTTCCTTAGCTAATGAAATAGGAATTGTTATCTAAAATATTTATAAAAAGTTTTTCCTTGTCATTAGAAATAATCAGAATGAGGAAAATTGGATGTAAGTATGCCCCACATGAGAAAAGACTGTTGTGTCAAGAATTGTTTGACAGGGGCGCCTGGGTGGCTCAGTGGGTTAAGCCTCTGCCTTCAGCTCAGGTCATGATCCCAGGGTGCTAGTATCGAGCCCAAGCGGGAAGCCTGCTTTTCCCTCTCCCTCTGCTGGTGCTCCAGCAGTCTCTCTTGCTCGCTCATGCTCCCTCTCTCTCAAATAAATAAATAAATAAAATCTTAAAAAAAAGAGAGAGAGAATTGTTTGACAGTGACCCCAGTGGAATTGATTAGCATAGCTAGATATGTGGGGGGAGATTTTGTTCGCCTACAAATAAATGAATATTTATGAGATGACTGGGATCATGATAGTCTCTGAAAGTGGGACAGGATTCTACAACTTGGCCAAGGACAAGTGAACTATCAATATTGCCTTTGTAACTCGGCTTCTATACTTGCCAGACCCTTACTGGACCAACTGTGAACATATACGGGGACCCTCATGGGCTGAGGTGGGACTGCAGCGATGTTCCTTGCTGGAACTGTAGATCAGTGACAGGCGGTGTCCTCATGTATCATTGACACTTGGGCAAAATGGAAAAAAAAAAAAAAAGATTTGCAAAATATTCAGGTAACAAAGACCAAGGGTGGAGAAAGTGAACAGTGTGGGTGGGACTACTAATCAGTTGTTTAAAGAGCTTTTATTTATTTTTTTATTTTTTAAAGATTTTATTCATTTGTCAGAAAGAGAGAGTGCATGCACAAGTGGGGGAGCAGCAGGCAGAGGGAGAAGCAGACTCCCTGCTGAGCAAGGAGCCCTATGTGGGAGTTGATCCCAGGACCCTGGGATCATGACCTGAGCTGAAGGCAGACGCTTAACCAACTGAGCCAGCCAGGCATCCCATAAAGAACTTTTAATCAATAAATCTTGGTAATCTTAACACTCTGAACACATCTCTTTCAACTCAGACAATTCCTTTCACCCTATTTGATTAATTTTTGTTGTTTTAGTTGTATTCCAGGATGCCACAACTTATTATAATATGCTCAGAATCAAGGATTTTGTAGTTGGTTTTCCAATCTGTTGCCTTTTGAGCTTTTGTATTGAGAGGATCTGTTTCTTAAGTGATTTTTCATTTCTTAAGTGGTTTTCAGACCAAAGTAGTTCTAACTTTTACATGATATTTTTTGTGGTTGATTTTTTTTCCTCTTCTGTTGTTGTTTCAAGTTTTTATTTAAATTCTAGTTAACATACAGTATAACATTAATTTCAGGAGTAGAATTTAGTGACTCATCACTTACATACAACACCCAGTGCTCTTCACAACATGTGCCCCCCTTAATGCCCATTATCCGTTCAGCCCATCCTCTGCCCACCTCCTCTCCACCAACCCTCAGTTTGTTCTCTATAGTTAAGTGTCTGTTTTATGGTTTGTCTCTCTCTTTCGTTCCCCCTTAGTGTTCAGCTGTTTTGTTTCTTAAATTTTACATGTGAGTGACATTGTATAGTATTTGTCTTTCTCTGATTAACTTATTTTACTTAGCATAATATACCCTAATATACCCATGTCATCGCAAATGGTTGAGTAATATTCCATTATATATATATATATATGGTACATTTTCTTTTTTTTTTTTTAAAGATTTTATTTATTTATTTGTTAGAGAGAGAGAGAGAGCA